TCAGCATTATGGTCTCGAGCTTAGCTGCTGTAAGTGCCTCCTTGCTCAAATGGATAAATAGATAGAATGAAAAAAAATTAAGTATCAAGTAATAATATACGACATTTAATTCTTACAATTTTTTTTTTTCATTTTTTATCATGTAGATGATAGCATTCGTGCAAAGTCTCACGATTAGGCCAGCTCCTTCTCGTGTCGATAACTGCAGCAATGTTAGCACGTCTGGGCAAATAGAGCCCTTAGTTTGAATTGCCGAAATGTCGGCTGGTGGCTCCTTGTCTAAATAAACGAATCCATCTTTTTTTTTTTTTATTTATAAAATGGTAGAAATATATGAAAAGCTAGAAAATAGTGTGAAGATCAACATTTATATGATAAAATCCTGCAGAAAAAGGCTACATCTTGTTGAATGAATGCCTGTTGAGGATTATCTAAGTTTAGAATCCCACACAGATTGATGATAATCCTAAAAGTAGTTGGGTAATCTTGTATTTTTCCATCTATTAGCTCTAATTAGTTGTTTGAGTAAAGAAGAAAAAGTTTTTGGACATTAGTATTTGTAATATACGTTTGGGTTTTTCTACTAGTGTTATTATTAGCCTTCTAAAGTAAAGTGTTTATTTTTGCTTAAGTGTTTTAATTTTCGATTTTCTTTCTAAGTGCCTAATTTGCATTTATTTGGCCTATTTGTGTAGTAAGTGTATCTTAATTTCCTAAGTGTTTTAATTTTATTTTACCAAGTGTGCTAAGTGTCCATTTATTTCTCCTAAGCGTTTCTTGTGCTTTTTTTTTTGTTTTTTTTTGTTTGTTTTTTGTTAAGTGTTTATTTTATTTTATTTTATTTTTGAGAAAATTGCACACCCTACCACAAATATCAGTTTTAATTATATAAATGAAACACCATTTCAAATATTAGCAAATATACAAGATCTCACCTTTATAATTGCAAAATTACCAGATAATTAAGTCACCGTAATTAAAGGTAACTTATCACCTTCCAAACATAATGGGATCTCTCACGCAACTCTCTCTCTCTCTCTCTCTCTCTCTCTCTCTCTCTCTCTCTCTCTCTCTCTCTCTCTCTCTCTCTCACCCCCTCTCTCTCTCTTCTTCTTCTTCTTGCTATGGTTTTTCTTATCATTCACCTTCGATCTAGCTCTATTTTTCTTCTCATTCACATACACATGTATATATAAAGGTCGAATCTTGAATTTAATTCGATCGATAGAAAGCAAAAATCAACGAAAGAGAAGAAAGCTGTTTTTGTGTTTGTTCATCATCTGCGAAAAAAAAATGGTGGAATGCGGTTTGGGGCTTGAAATGGAGCTGAGATTGGGGCTTCCCGGAGGCGGTCGCGGCAGCGGAGGTGGAGAGGAACGAGATGAAGAGAGTGTTTTTATAGATCTCTAGAGCCGGTGGCAATGGCGAGGAGAAGGAGGAGTAGGTAGAGGCGGTGGGAAGTAAGAATCAGGTGGTGGGGTGGCCGCCGGTGGGGGCTTATCGGAAAAAAAATAGCTTCGGCCGGGCTAAGATGTACGGTCGCTGGATTAGCCGAAAGTGGCCAAATGGACTTTTTGTATATCTTCTGTAAATATTGTGTATATAGTGACAACATTGATTTATCTTCCATATATCTGGTGTGTATTTTCTTTTGTATCAACTGTATACAATGAGTATATCTTCTGGATATGTTCCTGACAATGTACATTTTTTTAGTATATGTTAAGGTCAGCAGTATATTTTTAGTATATGTACATGAGTACGATTTCAACTTGTTTTATATACTGTAAATATACATGATTTTATCTGATTGCCGTCAATAATTTGTTGTTTTTTTG